AAATAAACCGTGACAATAGTTATAAGAAAAGTGATCAAATACGAAGTATTATTTCCATGGTGAGATGCCATCACAACAAGCTTATATGAAGTGTAAGAAATAGAAAAACACGTAACACATATGAAACTTACTGTGTTGTAAGCACAGAGTGTACGTTTTTCGGTATTTCAACCCCCAAGGCCTATGTTTTTAACCATTGGGTTACATGTTCTCCTCAAAGTGAAGAGAGAATGGAGTATACGATAGTCCTATTTGATTCTACGTCATCTTAAAGCTGATCTTGAATATATATGAGAGTTCTTATTGCTCAGAGCTCCAAAAAGTAAACACTACCTCTGAGGGTGGTCCAAATAACCACCTACCAACAGTTCCTCACTAACTTCACTGAGTAACTTTTTCTAGACCAAGAGCCATATTTAAATTGAACAGAATCAGATGAACTTTATGATCCAGTTTCTCTTTTCTATATTCTGTTTATGTAGATGTTTGATTGCTCTTTTGGAGGTTTTTTTGTTTGTTTTTGTCTTTTCTTAATGAGTAAATAAGCACAATGAGGAGAAACATTCTTCAGAAATCTTTGGTAAATGTGTCTGTGATCAGTAAATTAGAGCTTGGGAAAGCTCTAATAATAATAATAGGTAACATTTATTTATCTATTTATAACATTTATTTGAGATATTGTGCTAAGAGCATTAAATCAATTATCCCATTAAATTCTCAACAAATCCATGAAAGCAATAGTATTATTATCCCCCAGTTTATAAATGAGGAAACTGAAGCTTAAAGAGATTAGGTCATTTGACCAAGATTTTAAAATTAAGTTGCAGAAGCCAGAATTTGAATCCACTACTGAGTTCTAATTTAGAAAATTTCCTATCTTAATATTCCATGCAGGATAGGTGGGCACCTAAGACAGGGTTTTACATGAAGAAGCCTCTTAAGAAATGTTTGTGGTATAAAATATTATTAACCATTTAATCTGAGAGAGTTTAAACTGCACCTTCTCTTATGTTAGAAGAGTTTCTCAGATCTAGGGCCTGAGAATATGCTATACAAATGGTTTCAGAGACAAATCAAGGTTAAGGATGCTACGTGGCCCCAGTACTGGATCCCTAAGTCCCAGGTCTTGGCTTCATTCAGTGATCCTGCAGTATTGGGGTGCTCTGCTAATAAACATCCACAGAAATTCAGCTCAATAGCTGTGCTATAGAAGAGGATCTATTTGCTCTGAGAACTATGACTGTGTTTATTCCTCTTAGATCCTTAGTAAATCATTCTAAGGTATTAATATAATATGGAACCATAAAAGTACCTTCATGAGTTGATAAGTCAGCCACTGATAGTCATCTTCTAGGGGCCAGGTATTTTACATTTATTATTTCATTTATTTCTTAGAAGAAACTTACGGGGTAGATAATATTTCCTTCATTTTACTAAACAGAAAACTGAACAGTCGGATAATTTGTGGAAGGTTTAAACTCAGAACTGGCAGCTCTAAAACCCAGCCTTTTTCTACCACATCTAGAGTAAGAAATCAAAAGACTTTTCTGATCCTACTGGCTTAAAATCTAGAGCAATGAAAGGATATTAATAATTGGAGGCAAAGAGAAGTGAGGAGGTCACAGACCCTTGGAGGACATGGGTTCTTTTTCAGGAAGAAAAAAAAATGCATTTACACACAAATGCCCAAATTCTTAAATGCAATGTCTTGTGTTTACAGATCCCAGATTAAGATGCTTTGTTTTATGGATGAGAAGGAAAATACAGATAAAAAACAAAGAGATACATTTTAAAAAATCAAAATCCAAATCATAGACAAGCTCACAAACAGTTGTAATTGTTTGGAGGGAAAAAGAACTTATAAAATAAGTAGGGATAATTCAAGTAAAGGAGGAAAACATCACAAAGGACTGGTTTCAAAACATTTGATAAAGTTAAGTACCTTCTTAGTGTTTTTTTTAAATTTTTTAAATAGATTTAGAGAATACAAGTTGAATTCTGTTACATGTTTATATTATATAGTGGTGGAGCCTGAGCATTTGTCATACCTGTCACCCAAGCAGTGAACATTGTAGCCTGTAAGTAATTTTTCTTAAAGAAAAATAGATTGCTAATCCCAATCCAATCCAACACTATTAAGAGTTCACTCAGGGCCAGGCGTGGTGGCTCACGCCTGTAATCCTAGCACTCTGGGAGGCCAGGTGGGCGGATTGTTTGAGCTCAGGAGTTCGAAACCAGCCTGAGCAAGAGTGAGACCCCGTCTCTACTAAAAATAGAAAGAA